GCTGTTTTCATCATTAAGCTGAACACACGAGTTAATTTCTATTCCAATAAGTTTCTTTAATTCATTAGAGACAGTTAAATTTGGAATGTTTGGTAAGCTTTTCAAGGAGACTGTTAGCGTCTTATCCTCAGGAAGAGAATAAGTATGGAAAGCATACTGTTTGTCGATTGCAAATTTCTTAAAGCCGATATAGTCACTTAAGTTAAGAAATTGAATCTTTATTTGATTTCCAAAAGAAACTTGAGATGAAAGTTTTCTCCGACACTTTGTTTCAATTGGTTCGAGAACTCAGCATAATCATTAATCTTAGATGCAAAATAGATTGGGGGTGGTTTTCTACTTAATTTATTGCCGTCTGTTGTTGCCACCGATTCCGCGTCGCGATTTATTAGGTTGTTAGAGTTGCTCACATGCGCTTTATGATTAAACATTGGTTGATCAGAAAAAGCCTCCTCATCACGCACTAATACATCGACCGTCTCCGCCAGATATTGAAAACGATTAAAAGAGTTGAATTTACCTTGAAGTGAATCTGTTTCGATGCGGGGTAGTTTATCCGAGCCGGTTGGGCCAGAAAGCTTTTCGTCAGCTTGTCGCTTGTGCGGCAGCTTTATCGTCGTCTTACCCTCCAATTTGGAGAAGTGTCCAAGCACCTGCTTCTCGGGAGACACCACGCCGTTCGGCCGTCCGTCCTTCCAGCAACACCAAGAAAACCCTTGTCGGCAAAGCGCACACCAGGCTCTAACTCTCAGAGTCACGAATCAGTACTTGAGAAATGCGATATCAAGTACAATGCTCCACCGCAGCTTCTTCCACCTCGGTGACTCGAGCCGGTTTGAGTCCCCTATTTATACCCCGAGCGGTGTAAGTGGAGGCTGCCCCACCGCTCGGACACAGAACTGTAACTGTAGTGACAAACGCGCTTATCGTCACAAAGAGAAGTAGATGTGTAAGCACCAATCTCCCCTTCTACTTTGTTTTCATTGGTTGAATTATGTATATATAAGGAGAAAGGGAACAGTACTGTATTCTTGTAAGTTGGAAACATCCTTAGTATATTTCTATGTATAAAATTTTTAAGCGTGGCGACGGTATAGCTCTTTAGCTAGTAGAATGATATCTAAAGACCTCTTAATGACGTATTATTGATGTTAGAAACGTCATTAAGACGTTATTAATATGTCATTTGATGTCACTCTGCTATTTAGAATTATGGCTCCGTGGCTTCATGAGCTGCTACTGGCTACACATTGTCTAATTGTCTCTTTCTATGTCTGTCAACATGATTTCGGTTCCATGCTCCGTCCAGTACTATATGTCGATGTCTAAGAGCTTTGACTGTAGTCAAAAGCTGAGACAAAAAGTTTGCCTAAATAAACAATTTAATTATCACAGTAACGGATATATGACCGTATACAGTGGTTGTTATATATGTATAATATAGTACACTGCAATAAAAGGGTCAATAAACATTAAATAATGTATTTTATACTATTTATTAGCTAAGAAGGATCTTTAGTTAATAAAAATAAACTTTATAAATATTGTTGGATGCAGAATTTATATCAGTAAAGTATTGTAATAAAATAAATTACATATATTATATTTTTTCATAAATTGTGACTACATATCTTTTTTTATTTCTAAATAGCTATTTTAATAAATAGTTTAATTTAATAATTAAACTATTAATGTAACATTCAGCATTATGGTTCATTCTCATCGTGCAAAATATGTTTCTTTATCATATGATATCCCATCCCTATTGTTAAGCAAGCTATTGCTGTTCCTTGTGCAGCAACTCGAAGTTGTATTAAATATAATTGTGTAGATATCTTTTTCTTCTTAAAAGCATAGGCACCATAGCTACAGATACCCGCTAAACTTATCAAACCTATTTAGAAAGCAATATATGCATCATATGTTAATGACAAATATTTATATTTTTATATTAATTGACATACTTGCAACAAGAAATGGTGACTTTCGCCCTTTCTCTAACAATCTCTCCGATAAAGTTTGATCTATTATTGTGTCATCATCAGTAGTAGCCATTTTTGAAAAAGTAAATAGTAATAATATTTGCCAACCTGAAAATTGATTAATTCTAGATTAGCTTGGTTACAAAAACAGCAAAGATTAAAAGGGCCACTTTGACCAAACTCAATCGTTGATTAAAGAGTTGTCAACATGACAAAATCGCGTTAATCGGAGTTTGGTCGAAGTGGCCCTAAAGATTTTGAAGATAAGTTATTTCCAAAAGTTTATCTTAGACAGTCCTGCTTATAGATTTATCACTTCTGTTTATAAGGTTGAATGTTAATTGTTAATAGAATATAAAAATATATACCTTTACTTTATATATATATATATATATATATATATATATATATGTTTCCAATTTGCAAAAAAATAATCCCTGCCAAAGCTCAGCTCGATCGGATAACGGAAACCTGTGCCCCCGGATTTTTAAACATTTGAGTTCTCTTGTATTAAACTGTTTATTCCGTCAACATTGGCTGCGTTCAGCAGAACGCAACAGTTTTCAACCGTTTTATGATTCTCTGCTGAACGATTCTAAGCGCATTCAAAGTCTCAACACGTTCACTCAGCGGTCGCCATGATTTTCAGCAAACTAAAAGTACGTTGTATCTCAAGCAAAACGTTATCAGTAAAATAACTGCATGCTTCCAGTGTATTAACATCGCTGAGAATGTATAAATATAAATATACATATAAAAATATTATTTATAACGCAATAGATACAGTGGAAACGCACAGAAAGTTACAAAATGGTATATATATATATATATAT